AGAAAGAAAGAAAGAAAGAAAGAAAGAAAGAAAGAAAGAAAGAAAGAGAAAAGAAAGAAAAAGAAAAAATCCAGGAATGTTACAAGAATGTAGGTGTGGTGCAGTTCAGGATCAAAGGTGGCATCTCCAAGTTGTGAAGGAAACATTCAGTGATTTACACTGTACTGCAGAGTAGACACCAAATGGCTAAAGATTTAGCTGTTGAGAAAGAAGAAAAAGACCTAGGGGAAGATTTAGGATATTATTTTATAACCTCATGGTGAAGTCCTTTCTAACTTTGACTCAACATCTGAAAAGTATTTTTTTTTAAACTGATGAATAGCATGATATGAAAAATGACTTTTTACAAGTTTATTTATCTAGTAACCTCTAGGCCCAGTGTGAGGCTCGGCCCCCACCCCTCCCACCGAGCCAACCCGGCGCCCCTAGGAAATAACCTTCAGGGGAACCCTAAGCACCTGGCATCGTCACCCTGAGCAAGGCCCAAAGACAGCTATCCAACAGAACAAAATATTCAAGGCTTAGAGGACAGACAGAGGGCCAACCCCCTTAATATGTAAAGTACAGATACAAGCCCAACCAATTCACCTGGCCAGAAAAGGGCCGAAGTCCGTGAACAGAGAGAGTTCGGAGGGAGAACATAAACGTGGCGCTCACACACAGGAGAAGACACTCGGCCCGATTAGAGAAGTACACAGCAAAACTGCGCTGAGGGACCCTTTTCACCGCCTCTAAGAAATGGCCCTCCCCCCGCCACCTCCCGACCTGCGGGGTCCCCCCTCCCCCCCCGCGGGGTCACCCCCTCCCTCCCCACCCCCCGCCCCGAAGCCATCCCACTCGGCTGCCGCGCGGAGTTGCCGGCGAGCCTGGGGAAGGAGGGGCCGCCTGAGAAGGTCCGCCGCGCTCTCGCAGTCGCTGTCCCCGATCCGCCGAAATTCAAGGCACTCTCGCGGCGAGGGTGGCCGGGACCACCCCGCCGCCGAGGGCACAAGGGGCACAGGACCGGCCTCCGCAGAGCACAGTGTGCAGGCACTGGGGTCCGTGCGTGTCGATCAGAGTGAGTCTCGCCGAGGAAACGGGAATTGTTCCGTTCCACGAATGTCATCTGGGACATCCCGTTCTCGGGACGGACCCGGCCGGGGGCTCGGACTCTGGGCGGAAGACTGCCCGAAGGACACGGACGCGAGCGGAGAAGTGCCGAGCAGGGAGGGCGCGCCGGGCACTGGCTGAGCGTGTGGGAGGCGAGATCCCACCCACCGAACCGCTGGTTGAGTGTGCGGTACGTGCTGGGGGCGGGGGGAGGGGGGAGACAGCAAAGTGACCAAAACTAAGGTCTCGCCTTCACGGGCTCCCGGGAGCCCCGGGAGCTGCAGCCGTGTCAGCTGTCCCTCGTGCCGTGCCTCGGTGCGGAATGTGTGCGTGGCGGCAGGTGGGCGGTGGGCTGGGTTTGGGCTCGCGGCGCGCGGGGGCGGCCGGGAGGGTGGGGTCGGGCGGCGGCGGCCGCGCCCCCTCGGGGAGCTAAAGGCGGGGCATGCAGATTCGGTGTGGCTGTTGGGCGCGGGCCGGCCGGGGCAACCAGGGATACGGGATCTCTCGTTCCGAGGGAAGAGAAGGAAACGTCTGCACAAACGTCTAGGGATACGGGTGGACCTGTCGACGACGCAAAGGAAATGAGGCCAGGAGTGAGGGTCTGGGTTCTCACCGTGATTTGAATATGGATGATGGGAGGGCGGTGCCCGGGCGGGGAGCTCGGCAGGCATCGCTTCTCGGCCTTTTGGCTAAGATCAAGTGTAGTATCTGTTCTTATCAGTTTAATATCTGATACGTCCTCTCTCTGGGGACAGTGTATTAAGCGGATCTTTGGAGCCGGGAGTGGGGTTAGGAGCTTGCTCCGCCCGCTCCATGCATCGACCTGGTATTGCAGTACTGCCGGGAACGGTGCACCCCCTAATTTTATACCCAGGTTGAAAAAGTAGGCTTCGGGGTTTTTGGGGCGTGGGTGTGCATGTACTGCTTAACTTCCCGGGCGGTGTTGTGTTCGGGTTTTTCGCTCGCTACGTGGGGTTGTTTTTCCTGAGTTGCGTTCTCTTCGTTTCTGCTTGCGGTTTTTTGTTTTTTTTTTTTTTTTTTTTTTTTTCTTTGGAGGGGTATCTTTTGGAAGTCTTTCTCTGGACACGACGCGTTCTTGTTTTTTCCCGTGATGGTGATTGTCTTTTTGTTTGTCTATTTTGCGCTTAGGCCTTGGTTCCCGCGTTGTTGTTCCTTACAGCTCCGCCCTTGTCTATACCGGCCCCCCGTTGCTTTGCTTCGTTTCTGTGCTCCGTCCAGCAGCGGGTCATTCCCTCGAACGTTTAGTTCCCGGCTGTCTGTCTTTTCAATACACTCGTGCTTTTCCCGGTGATCTCAACAGCCTCACAGTGACCTTGATCCTTCCGAGCCCCTTCGTCTCAGTTCTCAGACCTCGGCTATCCTTATCTAAGGCACTCAACTCCCCTGGTTCAACCCTAGATCTAGTCATTGCTCTAACCCTTTCCCCATGCAGTCTCACACTGGCCAATCACCTTCCACCCCCCCACCTCCCTCCCTTCCTCTGCCCTTTGGTACCACCTACCACTTTTCACTGTTCCTTCACCCCCACCCCACCCCCAAGCCACCAATGTCCTCCCATCCTTATTTTCTTTTTTCTCTGTAGACGCTTAAGCATTGTTTATTTGGTTAGTATACTTGAACATATTAAAAGTTACAAAGCCTAAAATAAGCAACAAGTCAATAAAATCACAACACCGAATTCTAACACTTTCACATGGTATCACTATGAAATGCAAAAGGACTGTAAGTGTTTTACGTGGAATGATCTCTAACCTCATAAATTACACTAGTGTGACCAAAACAAATGATCGCATACTATAGAAGACAATAGAACATGAGCTCTTCTCCAGGACTGCTTTTTCAAAGCTTGAAAAATTAACTGACCCATCATTTTAGGGGGAAAAAGAGAAGTATGGATTACGAGGGTCTACATGTAGATTTAAAAAATTCTAATTAAAATATCTTAGACTATTTTAGATGTTTACTTGACATTGGAAATGTAGTCGACTATCAAAAGTATTTCTCTTCATCACAAAAATTCCATATATTAAGGATTTACACAATCCGGGGGGGGGGGAACCCCTAGAAACATTTTTGTTGCCTGAGCCAGTAATTTTCTAAAAAGGCTCTCCAAAATCTTGACTAGAGGTCTCATATTCTGCAATGAAATGCCTGAGTTCTTTAACACACCGGTCACCTATTTCATGTAAATTCTGTCTCAATGCAAACTGTACAGACTTTTCTAATGAAGGATCTTTTTCAATCAGCATTTTCACAACCATCCCGAAAGTTTCACAGTCTTGGTAAACCTGTTCAGTCTCTTTGGTTTTTGATGCTATTGCTTTAGAGCGACTGCTTAGTTGACCGTCTTTAAATAATTCTATGCCATCTGTTGCATTTGACTCAGGTTCCTCTGGCTGCTCAATAAACAATGGTGCTGTGGATCCTGCCTCATACTCAGTTTCAGGTAAGTTACTCTCATCTGCCTTCTCTAGCTTCTCAGCAGCCCACTTGCTTGCAGCCTCGGCAGGTTCCTTTTCAGTTAGCCTACTGGGTTTGTCTAACACCTTTCATATGTCCTCCCATCCTTTTTTTTTTTTTTTTAAGATTTTATTTATTTATTTGAGAGAGAGAGAAACAGCATGAGAGGGGAGAGGGTCAGAGGGAGAAGCAGGCGATGTGGGACTCGATCCCAGGACTCTGGGATCGTGACCTGAGCCGAAGGCAGTCGCTTAACCAACTGAGCCACCCAGGCACCCTGTCCTCCCATCCTTATTGACCGAGATTAATTTCCCTGCACATACCCTCAGCTCCCTTGCCACGATCTTGGTGCCACCTGTGCCACTGAATGTAGCTGGCAAAAAGCATACCACCAGGCTCATGTGGCTCACCTTAGCGCCCGGTATGCTGGGGAAAACTAGACATCATCAACATTTGCTACCTTACACCAGAGGCAAAAATAAAGCATAGTGGGCAACGGCTTTATTAAAAATTGCCATACGAATTTAAACATAGCACACCCACATTGTAAATTACTTCATACTTTCCAGGTTCTGAAGGTCTGAATACCTGGATCTTGCGACATGCTCCAGATGCCAGGAACTGCTCGTTGGCTTGTCATACCCGGCCTGCGGGATACTGCCTCTGGACCTCAAAGCCATCCCCATGACTCAACTTCGTTGAGTCGTGAGTCGGCCTCACCACGACTTCTGGTTCTTCTTGCACTTGCATTGTCCAAAGGTAACAGCTGAAGAAATTTTTTGCGACCCTTGTTGAACTGCAGATTCTGGAGTTGGGGAAAATTCATCTAGGATATTGTCATTTTCAGACATGCGGTCGGAGATGTCCCTCATGTAATCCCATTCACCGTCCTCATTAGAGACCAGTCCTTTGCTTTCATCTTCTGATTCCTCTGCCGGTACTGTAATGATCGGTCTCATGGACATGGGCGCCTCTGGCCGTGTTCTTTTCTTTGTCATCAGGGGTGGAAAGATGAAAATTTCCCAATTCTGGCTTGCAGTCAACAAAAGCAAAATCGAGCCTGTGGAGATGGTGTCTCCCACCTGCTTGTCTACCTTCGGGAAAGGGGAATGCGCACTTTGTTACCGCAACAAGGCAAGGGGAAAACGGAAGGATGGTGGGTGCCACGGCGATGACTTGTTCCGCGAACGCTGCATCACCCCTCTATAGAAGGGATTCCTTCCTTCCCTCATTTTCCTGATCCCTGTAGACTTTTTCGTCCTAGCTGCGGATGGAGGAATAAGGGCAGGCAGGCCGAAATATGCCTAGGATGACGACATAGCAAATCACGTCGAGACACAGGGAAAATTAGATCACGAAGACGCCGTGATGTGTCTTTGGTTTTGAGAGAGAGGAAAGCGGCGGCAGGAGCTGGCCCACCACTCACAGCTAGCCGTGGTGGTCTCCGGTTGGACATACACAGTTTTGCCCAGCCAGTGGCAACCTTAAAAAATAAAATAGCCAGTTATTTTACTAGCAAAATGAGTCTGTTCGGGGGTGGCAGAGGAATTGCAGTTAGGGACGGACATGCAAGCTAGGGGGGAGCCTACAGGCAAGTCCAAAGAGGCAAAGGGAAGGTCAGCTTTTTTTGTTTTGTTTTGTTTTAATTAATTATTTTTTTGGAAGGTCAGCTTCTATTTGGGTTTTAGGAGGACACTGGGGAGGCTTGCTCTGAACAAAAGTTCACTGGAGAAGAACAAGAGTTTGAGGTTGTGGCAGTTTCCCATTAAAGTGCAAGCGGTGGTTAGTGCCTGGTTGCTGGGGCAAGGAGGGCTCTATCCTTTTTCTTACAGGCAGGAGCTGAACTGCCTATGGGAAAAGGTTCTCCCTTGTCAGAATAATTTTTGTTTTCCTTCTTCCTGCTGGTTAGGCAGGCCACAAGGAGTGGTACGTGCTTGAGAGCTCCACTTTCAGGGCTTCCTGACTCCATTTTAAGTGAGATTTCCTTTATTTATTTTCAACATCAACATCAGACAAGGCCGCCCTGGGACCGTGACGAATCAAGACAGAAGAAGTGAGACCACTCCGTGGTCACGTCGGAACGGAGACAAAAAAAGAAGAATGTTGTCGGAACAACAAAATGGACCAAACACCACCCCCGCCCGCCCATCCTGGCTAATACGAGTAACTGCTACGACTTTACCAGTTTGCAACTTTGGCCTCGCTCTGTTTTTCCTTTCTTCTGGGTAAGATTTATTCAGCTACCCAATCGCTGAATTACCCTGACTTCCCGAAAGCATCTGTAGGGCGGGGGAGATCTTTTTCCTTCTCCCCTTTGAGGTTCTTGGGGTGGGGGTGGGGGGATGGCTGGGGCTTTGTCACAAAAGACAGATTAACAAGAGAAAAACAAACAGAAGTTTATTAGTGTGTGTATCTCATATATACATGGGAGAAACTTAGGGATGAGTAACTCAATGGGGTGGCTAGAACTTGGGCTTATATAGCTCCTTAACACAGAAGGAACAGGAAAAAGAAAAAGAAGAAAAAAAAAACAATAAATGTTCAGAGAAGTGACAAGACAAAGTAAAAGGGCTTTGAGTTTCTAGGGTGGCAAACTGTAGGAAGTTAAATATAGGGGGGAATAGTAGAAGATAAGGGCCGTCCAGTAAAGTTTGTTACGTAGAGTCCTCTGGTGCCAGTCTCTGGGCCGATAAGGATCTAGGGTTGTCAGTGATTAACTTCTGTACACGTTTATGTCCTGCTTTGAGGCAAATCGGAAGAGGGCAGAGTTCTTCCTTCTATCTGTTTCAGCTCAAAATAATCTTTCTGCCAAAGTGGCATATTGGGGGTGGGGTGGGGGGGGTTAGCAAATGCTGCTACCCTTCACACCCCATTCAAAGGAAGGCCTCGCTTGCTTTAAACTGTCCCGCAAGCCCACATCCTGCACGTAATAAGCCATTCCTGACACCCTCGCCCCGAAGCGCGTCCCCTCTCACTTTTGCAACAAGGATAACCCAATTCGTCTCATCACGGGTGTGTTCCTGGTGGTCTTTGGCTGGATGGTGTTGGCAAGTCATTAAGAGGCTCCACCGAAGGACCCCTCTGGTAACTGCAATATGGAATGAGTTTTGTTCTGTTTAAGAGGCAAAGTTTTCTCTTTTTCTCATTACATTCATCTGAAGGGTCTCATGACTAAGGTCTTATTAGCTGACAATAAATGACCTTTTCCCAACAATAGCTAGCCCCTTCAAGGTCCTGGAAACCTTGCTTCCAAAATTCCTTAGAGACTTAGGCTATCCCTAACCCTTCCCAACTGGAAAGTATATAATGGGCCACTCCTCATGACCCCAGTGCAGCTCTTTCTGCCCACGGGCCCTGTCCCCGTGCTTTCATAAAACCGCCTTTTTGCACCAAAGACGTCTCAGGAATTCTTTCTTGTCCGTTGGCTTCGAACCCTAACGTTCTTTCCTACATCATATGGCACCCGGACGTGGGGCTTTGGGTCCAGAGTCTCATCTGGACTCAGCCTCGGTGCAAGCTTGGCAACCACTTTCTCTTCTCTTCCTTTACTCTCATTTTAGGGGCTCTTCAAGGAGCACGGTCTTCCTGGAACACTTTCATGCCGATTGCTCAGGCTGCAATCCTCTAGCCCGTGGCTACTCTACGGGGAGGAGAAAGCCTGCCTTTTGGCTGGAAGTTAGTAGTACCCTGGCCGGGATGGTAACGAGACCCAGAAACTTGATGCCCTCTCTTATTCCTGTCCTTACACAAAGTTGTCTGTCTTGGGCACGGGACAGCCACCTAAGTCACCTGGACGGCTGCCAATCTTAAGACTCCTGGGCGAGGTTTCCTCCTGATCGATCTAATGTGATCGATCCCCTTCACATCCCTGGTCTAGCCGCTTCTGGCCGCGGGACCTCCAGTGGGAGCCGGCAGAAACCAGTACCCGATGGAATTAAAACCCAACCGGGGACCGTTTCCTAGGGAAGTTCGCTGTAAGGACTACATGTGTTGGAATGTCGCTTAGATCATGGTGGATTTCTGTCTTTCCCGTTTTCCATCAATGTCCTCTACTAACTACTTAAGCTACAAAATTCGGTAATTTCCCCCTGTAAAACTTTTCTAGTGTTCTCCATGGGTTAAAAACAGCAAGTTCTTTAAGGCAAGGTAAAATAAGGCATGACCTTCACGGCACGACCTTCAAGGCACGGTATTTCGGTCCACACGCCAGGCACCTATCCGTAGCCTAGGATGCAATGGGGAAACTGGGGGGTGGGGGGAGGGGCGGGGAAGGGGACGCTAGCATCCCCCCTACAGGGGCCTTTATCGGTGGCGGTGGTCATAGCGATTTCGTTCGGGGGACGCCTCGGGTCGCTTTGACACCAGGAACCTCTGACATATGCTGCGTGGGACGCCACTCAGGAGTCGGGGGGAGGGGATTTTCTAGGTAAGGGACCTTCTCTTTTCTTCGGTTCCCAACGACTCTCCCTTGGGGTGACTTTTAACCCACTGGAAACAATTCGGATTGCAAAACGTAGGAAAGGACTGAGCTCCTGTGACACCGCATGGCCTCAGTGGGATCTATCAGTTAGATCTCTTCTGCAGGAAACAGGGCAAATGGACCTAGGGTACCTTCATTGCTCTACACCAGGACCCCGACCTAAGGGCCTCTTGCAGAATGTGTTTGCCTGAGTGGGGCGGTTAGTAAACTCCCTCCTGACATATTGGATGATAATTATCTAAATAGGCCCCCTCCGAATAAACCCAGGTTGCTGGAAGAAACATAGGCCCTCCCTAGCAAAGGGGACTCTGACTCTCCCTCCCTCTCCCTCCCTCCCTCCCTCTCCCTCTCTCTCTCTGTCTCTCTCTCTCTGTCTCTGTCTCTGTCTCTCTCTCTCTCTCTCTCACTGTTCCTCCTCCTAATAGATGTAGGGGCTTCTTCCTCACTCATTTCCCGGGTTAATGGCTATAATTGGAGCCAACTGTGGTTAGTCTACCTCGGGATGGGGACTTTAGGGAATATTCCCAAGCAGCTGCCGAAGCTCCCTTTGTTTTGGGGAAATTCCCTGTCTTCTCTGGCCCAGCGCCGACCGCCTGTTCCCCCTCCCCCCCTTACTGGCAGGAAACCATGGCGTCTGCGCCTCTGTTGGAGCTGATGAGCTCTGAAACCGGGAACGCTTTCTCTGCCTTCTGGCAGCACTTGGCCTCTTCTGTCTCCGCCTCCCGCTTCTGTTTCCGCACCACTTTGGGTGCAGCCTGCGCAGCTGGCTTCCCTACCATCCTCGGTGGCCCAGGCCCCATGGCTCCTCCCTTCACTGTCAAGGAGCAAGAAGAGGGGCGCCTGGGTGGCTCAGTCGTTAAGCGTCTGCCTTCGGCTCAGGTCATGATCCCAGGGTCCTGGGGTCGAGCCCCTCGTCGGGCTCCCTGCTCGTCGGGAAACCTGTTTCTCCCACCTCCCCCTGTTTGTGTTCCCTCTCTCGCTCGCTCTCTCTCTGTCGAAAAATTAATTAAAAATTAAATTAAATTAAAAA